GAGTTGGTTCAAAGTTACTGAAGACATGAAATGCTTTCAACATTCTTCTACATTATAATACTCCTATAAACGCGGTAATATTCTAAAACCGGCATATGATAAAATTTCCAAATTGGTTATATTAATTTTCTTGCGCATTTCAGACAAAATTGTCGTTTTTTAGTTCTCAATCTGTCCGCATTCCTTCCAATGATGTTTAAAAAACTCAACACTGCGTTAGCGGCCTTTCCTATTTCCAATTTTTTTACGTTTTGTAAAAAGAAGCGAAAATAATTCGTTGCAGAGAAGATTCGCGTGGTCATAAAACCTATTTTTTCGGAGAACATTGATTCTAGCGAATATCTCAAAGCCAATTGAATGGCTTATTTCAGAAATAACAAGTCAACGAATATTTACATTTCTTATGATAACCTCCTAATGTGATTAATGTCATTATGTCGATTGTTTTAAAAGTTTTGTTCCAAATACCCTTCAAAATCGCATGCCTTCCGTCGGATCGGCGTCAAACATTACTACCAGACAATGTGACAGCACTAATAAAGCTAAAGAGCAAACATCGTCTTGTTGTTTTTCAAATAAAGGATGCAATTATCTTAGATACAAATGGGTAAACAATGATCTCCATTTCGAACTTTAAGATAAGAGTGACTTAAAGCTGCGTCAACCTCGAAGAGTTGCAAGAGACTCAATTATATATTTATAATTTACATACAATGTAAATATCTTTAAATAGATTGTCTCTTAAAAATATAATAAATTTATTACACACACGACTGTCTCTCAACACTTCTGCTGATGAACTCGTCAGTAATTCCAGCCTTGTAGAATCGTAATCAGGGTGAGTACATATATGGTCAATACAACAAAATTCCCTTTGAGTAATAAAAAAATACAATTAATTTGTAGAGTAAAATTTGGTGTATCGTAGATTATACTTATTCATACATTTATTGGAATGTATTTGAAATATTAATATTTTTACCTTATTACACTTCAGTAGTAAATGAAAATCGTAAATATATTTGGCGAATTGTCTATTTAAAGCCGTTTTATTTAAAATGTATTTTTGCTCTAAATTAATATTGGAGTTAAAAATTAATTTACAATCTTTTGTAGCTAAGGCAAACGATGTCGTACGTTATTATATATAGTCAGAAAGTTTGTACAAATTCTTCCATCTCTGAAAGCCTGTCTTTGATAATTCACGAGGGACAATCATGGTCATGTTCTGGTAGCACACAACAACTACATCATCTACTACGTAAAGTAATAAATGGTACGTTCATAAATATCACGAGCAATGTTCGGGATGTAAATGCCTAGGCTAACCAACAGATAAAAATCATCAGCTGTGAGAGATATAGAGCTGGTCGATGATATCTAGGATACCAACATGGCCAGGAAAATTTTCCTTCCTTTAACAAAAATTCAAAGCTGGGCTTGAAGCGAAAAAATGACGACCGAAGGGAAAAAAATCCTGGAGTTTTGAAACTCGGCAAGATTATTTGTTAGTACCTACTGCATAACATTTTAAAAATCCTGCAATGCGTGGCTAAGTCAAGGGAGGGTTCATTAGAAGGTTCTTTTTCGACATTTTTTGCATATATCTTCTGAACTATTATTTTCCACTGAAAAGTATGTTCTATAAAAAATTAAAGTATATAAAATTTCGTACAACAAAGGGCCCTGTCAGATATTGTTTAAAATTATTTTAGTTATACGATTGGAAAGTTATGGTTTTTGTTTACAACAAGGCCCTTGTTATCTCTTATAAAGTGATGCTTTGATCAATTCAATGCACGGAAGTAATTTTATTTTTGTTCAACATTTATCAACAACATGTATTTGCATATTTTGCTTAAAAACAGGAACCTTTTTTAACTTTACAAATCTTGTTTTGTAAATAGACTTGAGAGTATTTCCATGGTCTTTGGGGTTTGAAATTACCACTGATAAAACTGATAATCCATAGTTTATTTGATAAGGATTGAGTACAAATTTTCGTTAAAGAATTGTGTACAATGTCAACATACAAATTACATAAAACAATACATTCATATTTCTCATTATAAAAGTGTACGTATACACTACCATGGCGTGTGTGTAATATATGTATATTAGTGCAACGTATACACTCATTGGCGTGCACGCCAATAGAAAGTACATCAAGGAGTATTTGCTTCTTCCGGTGTTGACATATTTCTTCCAATTTTTCCAATACCGTCACACATCAGCTTTATTCTTGGTCTACCTGTACCTTTGTCTTGACAATTTTAATCTATCTCAACATAAGGCGCAGTGTTCAAATAAACTTGCAGTTTTACAAAATGGCAAATACTTTCTTGTATAAGTTAGTTTCCTTTCTCTTGAATCAAAACTAGATTAATGGTTTCGCCCCGTGCTCGTCCCAGCTATCGGCTGGAATCAACCTACCAGGTCGCCCTATGGTCGCCCAATGGTCACCTTATGGACACCACATGGTCGCCAGTAAGCCCTATGGCTACTCTGAGAACATTCCTTTAGAACAGTGTCATTGCGTTCCCCAAACATTGCGTACATCTATCCCGACACTGAACCTGTTGCCCGTTGTATCGCTTAGTCCCATTGTTTTCAATGTAGGGATCACGTTCCTTAATTACACAGTTTCCTATTAGACGAAGAGCTTATCCCCTTTCTCTTCTACTACGTATATTAATACTCCCAAGGACCCACAAAACAGGGATTCTGGCTACACCAAGTGTTTGAGGACTTTTTCTAAATTTAGTAACTGGATTTATCCAGTTTTTCGTTACCAGGGTCCTGTAATAAGTTTTTCTGCCGAAATTTTTTCGCCCAGCATTACATAACATTCTCTTCTTCAGAAGTTCCTTCTTAAGTGCGAGAAAGTAAAGAAACAGCTATTTTTATTACTGTAGTTGTAGGAAACGCCGAACAAATTGAATATTTGCAATTTTCCAGAATGTGTCAATTCCTACGAAAATACGACCTACGTCATTTCTTTATGTATCTTTTTCTTTATCAGACAAAACAATTTATATAAAATTTGGATCCATTTTTGAGAAAATTATGAAAATGATGAGGCTTCATTTAAGTACCTCCAAAATCAAAATACACGGGCCGCGATATCAGTCAGATCGATCGGGGAGTACCACTTTTGGTGAAAACCATACATACTGTTTAGCAGCTAGCGATGTTGTTCGACGGACTGTCGTTTTGCCGTTAATCGGTTTTGCGCATTGAAGAACCCACCTAATTTGGATTCTGAATACACAACGTGTTAGAGGAAGTGAACCAGAAACAGTATTTATCGACTTTTTCATTACCAGGGCCGGGCAACAATAGTTTTTCTGTTAAAAATTCGTCGTTTTTTCCCGCATCATTACAATACTTTCTCCACTTTGGTTCCACACAAACTGACATTATTTCATATTTTAACATTTACAAAATTGAGATCAGAATTTTTTATTTGCAAATGAAGCATGTACATTCTAAAAATATCGATCATTAACCATCGATGTTAGAGAAACACACGCTTTCATACATCCGTGTTTAAATCATGATGTTTCTATAAAAACATCGGAAACGCTGCTTCGGAAACGTTGATATAGATGACGCATCCTTACTTTACTTACCTTACTACGAGCAAAGAATTATAGTATTTTCGGATTAATATCACTTTGAAATTCATTCCAAAGTTAGATTTCCACAGAAATTTTCTGCGTTAAGATTTCCGATAACGAAAAAATGAAAAAAAAAACATTTACTTTTAATTTTAGTCAACATATTTTTTACAAATATGTACATTTCATCTACTACACACTCTATCCAACCTTGCAAACAGCAAAGAAGTCATGTACTTCATTTTCGTATAAAATGTGTTATATTTTTATTTTGTACCGAAACGTAGTTCATCGGTACAAGAAAATAAAATTGCCTTCTAGGAGTAGTGCCATATTACTTAAAAGGTCACTTGAAACACTCCAAGCACTAACATGTAAAGCTTTTTGACTTATAAAGCTGTGCGAATATTTCCTTTTGATCTTTGATGTTCTCTTTGACGTCCAGGCCAGGTCTATTAACACGCTTCACAGAGAGCCATGAAAGCCTCACAGAACGTTACGAAACGACCCCTGTTGGCCGCGTACCTTCTATTACAGAAAGCCACGAATGAATGCACAAGAGCTTTCCGTGCCAATCTCTGAAACCGTTGCAGGCTCTCATTCTGTCTTCTGATCTCGCCTGAACGTCCACTTCTACAGGCTCTTTTCAATACCGCCATCCGGCGTTTGTGTTTAAAACTCTTTGAGTAACACTACTTCATGTATCACATTATATTATTAAATAAATGTCTTGGAGTCCCAGTACTTTTCTTTGCAATTCTCAAAATATACTGGATAATATAAAAAATATAAATATTTATGAAGCGAAATGCGAGTTGCCACGCCCATATCTAGATATCTTCATTAGCCCAAAATACATTCACAATTACTACGCAACCAAATTTATGAATTACCTGATATATTTCGACGTAATTGGACATAAATGGTGCTTTAAACAAATAGCCAGCACATAACAATATTTTCATAAATTACTAACTATTTAAAAAGGTTCCTTTCTACGTTCAGAAATGCCGAAATAGTGAATATTTCTCTTGGTCTGGGACAAAAATTTTTAAAAATTCTGCATCTTGCAATGTCCAGATAGTGTTGTACAAATGTTTATATTGTAATAATCCCCTCTATCCTAATCGATGTTGATCCGACTAGCGATGACGAAAGGAAGGAGGACTATTAATTATTAATATTGCACTGCGTTTCTGACGTCATGGTATGCGGGAAGGACCAAGATGTAATGCACACATGTATTACCACAAAAATATGTTTCACACACTTCGGATTCATGTCAATATAATACGGCGAATTATCGCGTGATGCAAACACAACGAATGCGCAGCTCGATTAGCAAGAAACTACACACTAACACTTATACATTTATTCTAGAGTCGAACTGGAATCTATCATTGTCAGATCCTATCATCCAGTTCAGTAGCCCCGCGTAGAGAGCGGGAGGACCCCAGCACGCAGGTAGACAGGCAGCCCATGGCTGCGGTGGCTGCGGCTGCGGCGATGCTGGTAGCGGCGGCGGTGGCGATGGCGTGGGCCGGTAGGCGTCCACGCGGTCGGGTAATAACTGCTCCCCAAAAAGTTGGCTCCAGCGTGTTCTGGCGATTGGCGACCCACAATCACCCGCCTCACCGTGCGACACAACCGAAATTCAAGACGGAGAGCGCGGTCGCCTAAATGATCGCAAAGTACCCCTCCGTGACCCCGCAGGGGGTATCGTGGTCGCGATCTCTGGTGAAGAGTTATAGACGACCACCCGGACCCTGAGTTTCGCGGCGACACTCACGCCGTTAGCTTCAAGGCGGAGGCAGTGAGTAGGCGATGCTAAGCTCCATGTTGCCGGGCATGCCCGGCAACCCACCACTTGCGCCCATGGTGCGTCGACATTTGGGCAGGATTGGGCGAAGAACGGTCCTCGAAATGCTCCGGATCCCACAAACAGAAAGTCCAACGGGGACCAAATACCCCTGTCAGGTTGCCTAGATTTTGGCGGGACTCACGTCAATAGCCTAAAGGTGTAGACAAGGAGGAGACGAGATGGGGGCCTCGATAGGCCCGAACCTTCCTTTGCAATTGCAACTTATCGTTGAAGTTTTATATTTTTATTTATTTCACAGAGTAAACGTTAGCACCTTTTTACGTACTACCACCGTCTTTCATATTTTACAATATCAAGTATTATGTTCTTGAATGTTATTTATAACAATTCTCTTCCAATATCTGCTAATAAATTTGTAGCACAATAAAAAATATTTCTGCTCCAAATCTCAAATCCAGGGGGGAAAGACCCCTGGGGGGAAACATGCACTACCCTTACGGGACTAATGACCTCAGTAGTTGATGCGTCCGGAATCACTATCAACCAACCAACCAACTAACCTGTATAGGTAGGACTTCTGAGCTCGCAGGCGGCCCGACCCAGTCATTGTATGGGGAGGTTACCGTGAGAGTCAACTGCGATCTAGCGTCATCCAGATACTCGTACAGGTCCAAGGGAGTACTTGTACTTCAGCGGGGGATGCGCATAGAGGCCAGCGTCTAGGTGCCTACTCCGGATTGAATTCCCCCTGTAAAAGTGCAAGTACGAGATAGACGCACTGCAGACCAATACACACCCATCCGTGAACTGCTGAAGTATCGCGCTTTCCTAGTTTTGCTCTCGGCGATCTGCCGCCTCCCGGCTGTCACGGCAGGAGCAGCATTTTATCCGAAGAGCAGAAGTGTCTGGTAGAAGTTCGCCACAAGAAATTTCGAATCCGAATGTTTTTGCTCATCTACCTAGCCTAACTTCCACAGCTATCTCTCCTCCTCCTCCTTCTCCTCCGCCAGTGAGATAGCGTTCTGTTCGTACTATTCGAACAAATGCTATCGGGGTGGGGCCTCGCTTTGCCTAATTAAATCTCGAAACCCGCCCTTTGAAATTGTTTGTGAAACAGGATGGGCTTCCCGAAATGGTTATATAGATCTATACAATCTAATACTTCTATGTAGTTGGCTTCCTAGAAAGACCTAAGCTCCAGCGACCGGAAACATTACGCTCCGAGGGTTGGGTTCGCAGAGACGCGTCAGTATCCTCTCCGAATTCCCCCAGACATGAGCTCCGGAATCGCGAGCCGAAAGGGCGTTCCTTTCCTGGAAGGTAGTTAATAGCGGGCGACAAAGGCACTCGCAGGGAGGCAACGCAGGCAATGGCGGTGAAAGGCCGTGGTTCCGGGGCCAGTGAATATCGCGGCGTGGTTCCAAGTACTGTTACAGTACGAATGATACATAAATATAGACCAGTATAATACATATGTGGTTGAGTGCGTTTAAAAACAATAATGTGAAAAATCTGGACGTAAAATAACAGCATTTGGAATGTCGGTATCAAATCATCAGTGCGCAAGCGAAGCAACCAAGGTAGGAGATTTAAAATATGTCAACGCCACCCAATGTTTTTGTACAGGCTGATGCTCAATTCGTTTAAAAAAAGTCATCTATAACCGATAAGATATCTGGAATTTGGAAAAAAATGTTCTTCTTTGTCGATGGAGATGACAATTATTCCGCTCTTTTCTAAAGCATTCGGAGTGTTTTCCTGTTCATTCCCTCCTTGATAATATGAAAAATTAGCACTTTCGAATATTAAGAAGTTCGTAAGTGCTCTTCTAGCACTGAACCATTTTCAAATTATGAAATGCAACGCGAAAAAGCGGCGAGTGTTTCATGGAAAATTCTTATTACAAGGCCCTGGTAACGAAAAAGTGGATAAATCCAGTTGTTAAATTTAAAAAAATCCTGTAAGACGTGCCGCAAACCAGAATATCTTTTTCGTGGGTCCTTGATACAGAAAAATAGACTGACGGCAAAACGTTTGTCCGTCTGTGCACAACGCTAAAGGCTTTACCGTTCAGCCGATTTTCTCCAAAATTGATACTATTTTCCGATGATACCCGATCTGGCTGATGTCGCGGCTACCGATATTGTAATTTCGAGGAGTGCTTTACATCAATCCCCTGGGAAATTTTCAACATTTTCAAAATAATGGTGCCATCGATTTTGATTAAATTGTGTTGTTGCATAGTCTGATGGACATTTAAGAAAATGGTGCTGGTCTAATGTTGATTAAAACCCTGATTTTTCGACAATTGAAAAAATCCAAAATTTGTCCGGCGTCTTCCTACAATTATAAAGATACATTTTTTTCTAATGAAATGTTTTCATCAAAAACAGAAATTTAAAAATATATTTTTTAGAAATAGAAATTTAAAAAAGGTCATGTTAAATTTTTCCGAACCATGAGTATTTTTGGAGTAATTGGACGTCAAAGTACGTACTGGGCCGTACCGCTTTGAAAATACTGGGCTTCTTGATCGTAATTTTAGGTGTTTTGAGGCAGTTGGATGCTACGTAAGTTAGAATATGTATTATAGTATTTCATATTTCTTTGGTATTTTCTTACATTGGAGCTTTTGTTATATGTTTACAAATTAATCTTTTAGAAATTATTTAACACATATTTGAAATAAATCTGAAATGAAAATTGCTAGCTTTCAGTCGCCCGCTCCTAGTTTGGTTGCTACGTAAGTTAGAATTTATATATTATTTCGAATATCATTTTATTATGATTAATTATATATTTATGTTATTTATTTTTAAATCACAACCTTTAATTGCGTTAATAGTGAAAACGAATAGACGAGCGGTCATTATTGGTTGTTATTACCCTTTCTCGTAACACCTAGCCGCACTGATCACACGATAACGATGGCTGCTTTAGATCGCGGAAATAAAAACGATTTTTTTTATTTGTGAAATTAAAATTATTACATAACTATTTCAAATGAATTACACCAAAAATACATCGGAAAGAAAGTGTGGTATAAATAGTATTACATAACCACCTAGTTTTACTGACCACTAGTTTCGCTTAATATTGCTTTCAATTCGGAGCACGATATACACAGCATAACTTACGTGGATCAAGTGGATCGTGGTTACGAGGGTAATACAAAAAGAGTTTAATGATGCTACTTGTTCTCTTATGGAAGTAAAGACCAGACACTCATATGACCGAAGTTGGCATAGTTTTCTTTCAATTTCTACGCGTATTAGAAATTAGTGATAGAAATTTCTTCCCTTCATTAATATTGCGGCAGCCTGTGGTCAAGCATCAAACAACTTTCATGTTTCGATATTAAACCGCTTCTAAATCACGTCAATAATAAGCCTTCCAGTAGGCATTTTACGAAAAAAGAAACGGTTTTTACCCGGTAAATGACAGCATCCCGGAGCCCACGTGACTTCGAAAGGCTCCTTTCTGAACTGCCGCTACCCGAGTGATTAAAACATTGCGCGGCGAAGTATTTCGGGGAAGAGGGTCGGTTGGCGACGGGTCGATGCGAGGCGCCGCACATGCTCCCGAACTGTCACTTGAGGGCGCGTGACGTGAATCCACGCCAACTTCGGCGGGGCACCATTACCACCACTGAGAGAACACTCGCGGGAAATAATTATGAGTTCCATCAATAATTTGTCGAATTTTCGCTTCATGAGTAGAGACTTTTCTCACGAAGTTCTTACTATTTAATTTCATCAAAAGGATAGTTAAACATAATAGGGAGTTTTAGCGCCACGCGTAAGGTAGCGGCGTTATGCACTAACAGTCACGTGATAGACCTTGAAGTCATAACGTCTTACCCTAGGCGTAAGTTACGACCTTGTACCTTCATAAATAGTGCATGCCTGTAAGAGCCTCTACGGTCACCTTACAAGCGGCAAAATGGCCGCCTAAAAACAGGAAGAGTTGAATTTTTCCAACTCTGGTAAACCGATTCTCGTATGTAAGGCAGTTACAATTATTCCTTACCAACTCCTCAACGTTGGCAAGAATTAACGGGATATGTTGGAAAGGTGACAGGAAAACAATTATCGAAAAAGGACTTCAAATCATATCTTTGCCATAGGTTATATCTTACGCTCATAACGAACGCTATTTTATGGTATTTTCTATATTTTCAACAAACGCAGATTCAAAATTCCAGACTGCATACTCATTACGGAGGGCCAGAAAATCTAAAACTCCATTCACAATGTACATTTGTTATTCTGTTGACTCGTAACGTGTTTTAAATGTCTCACCACTAGCCTACACACTTTGATATATTATGCAATTTCTCTGTTCAACGCTTGAAATGCTTCCTATGTTATAATGCATAACACAATGTTGCAATTGCTAAAACTCTTCTGAAAGTTGTTCGGTACGACCGTATAAAGGTGTTAGTCACGTGATTAATAGAGTTTAAAGATATCTCCTTACGCCTGGCGCTAAAACTCCCTATTATTAGAAAATTACAGATAGAGTGCGCGTTATATTGCATGATTGCCTGTAGAGTCCTTACATTTCGCTATGTTTCAGCAATATAAAGTTACGGTGTTATGAATAAACATGGGAACGCGTAGGACAGCTTGGCAAGATACAGAGAGAATTTCTTTATAAGAACAATTTTATTTCAATGACTTCCTTTATTAGCGTAAAGTTTAATTGAGGCTTCCATGCTCTCTGCCTCTGGGTGAAATGCTATAAACACGAAAAGCTGCTCTGCGTTAACTAACAAAATAAATTTATTTATGGTGATCGGGAGTGGCTATCTTCACATATAATATTTACATATTTAGAACTGGAAAAAGGGGTGCCCTCCATATAACTTTAAACAATGGCCGAAAAAGGTTAGTTTTATTTTACTTTTTTTATTTTAACAAGAACAGCATTTGAATTTAATAATATTGTCACGCAAAATTACGTAGTCAGGATTTTACAAACAATTGACAGGCACGATGCCTCACGTGTTTAAACATTAATACAAAATCTATACATACACTGTAAACCTTTTATGCACTCATAACTAACAGTAATTTGTTCAAATGCCAAACATTACATTTAGACTACTTTTCTTAGACTGTATCTCACATTGTTTTAACAAAAATACTCTGATAACTTTATTTACGTGACATATGCTCCCATCAGCTTATCAGAAGGCCTAAGAGGCCAAGTCCGCGCTCACGTCATCTTTCATATGAAATTACAGGTTGGGTGATTGGCTATTGCAGCCAGTAAAGAAATAGCGCATCAAGAAGATTTAAATCGAATTAAGCTCTTCGCACTCTAGTATGCGAGCTCGGAATTAAACTGAAAAGAGACCGTAGATTTGAATGTTATAACAACGGTTTGTTATCAATGATCGCTTACTTTCATTTTCTCTGAAAATTTGTATTTTTTCGACTGCTCCTGAAAACAATAATTTTCCTTTCAAGTTGGCAATATTATATTCCCCATATCGGAAAATTAATGTAAGAAATACCTCCAAATGTATTTACTCAACTCTGAAACACGTTTGGGATCGATGTTCATATTATTTACACATTTTCATATTCTCGCTCCTCCCTACACATTGTATGAAAAGAAAAAAACGTCTTTTTTCTCTACGGCAAGGCATAAACGTTTTAGCGAATGAAATGTGTGAAAATTATTTTATTAATACACAAGATTCACAAAGTAGATAGTTTTTGGCGGCAATTTTGAATTTTCAACCCATTCAAACGCGAAAAATCGAAAATATTTAAATTACGAAAGCTTCTACAGATGCTACCATAGTTAAAATATCTCACGTGTATTGGCATGCCAAATATTTACATGCAGTTTTTAAGACTTGTTCAAGGAGTTGAACATACTTGAAAAACTGATATTTTACGATTAATATCACGATATTTTAGGAAGGCATATTAATATAAATATAAAGAGCAATTAATATAAGAATTTCCTGGTGGAAAAGAAATTTGGGGAACAGTAAAAACCATTACAGTGCCAAACCACCCCTTTGACAACTGCCGTAATTCGTTTTATGACTAATATATGACAATCATTTCTCAGCTGATCAGCAATTTCAGTAGCAGGGCATTCGCGCCTGCCGGTTGTGTTTCGCGTGCAGGGTCCCGGGCTCAACGCTGGCTGAAGAGCCCCAATTAGCGGCGGGGGCGCTCGGGACCCCAGGGGCGGAAGAGGCGGGCACATCAGCCTGACGGCGCGGGGCGGCGCACGCCCCAGCCAGCCACGCAGCGTCGCTACACACGGAGAGTAGCGCAACTACCGCCATTTCGTGTGCTCTCATACGAGAGCCCCATCAAGCAGAATTCAGATGTTTAGATTCAGATTTAGATCTATTTAGTCAAAAAACAGTAAAAACTGTGTGACGTGCGCATACTGAAGCTACATTTACGCTCAAAAACAAAGCAAGGGGCCATCTCAGCATTTGTCCATTGGATCAGGGAAACTGGACAAAACCTGATCGAGATGGAGTCATTGGTCCGGAAGCTGAAGTACATTATTTGTTACAAACGTATTAAGAATTTGTTTAAATTATACAATACAAAAGTAAACAAATTCTTTTTCTTTTTGACAATCAGTATAGTTTCTAATTGTATATATACTCGTACAGTTATACAGCAGAAAAGATTTTACTTTAACTTAGTTTGTGAACCGACTTCAATTGTTTAATATCAATTGGCTATTCGTTGTAAAGTAATACACATGTGTTGTATGTGAATTTATGATAGTGAGCTGTTGATACTGACACTTGATGAACATGATTTTTACGACCTGTGTTGTGATTATAAATATCAGTATTGCATGAAAATATGTTCCCACCGATACGTAAGTTACTTTTGACACGTATTACAGATTTGTAAATATATAGGCAAGGCAGTGGTAAAATTCGAAGCTCAATGAAGAGAGTTGATTATTCGAACAATTTCCTTTTGCAATCTAAAGGTCCGAGTACTACATGATCAGCTTCCCCAGAGTAGTATGCCATATCTCAGGCGAGTATGTATATTTGCTAAAAACACATAACGATCTGCATGAAGACGGACAAAATTCGAAAGAATTCTGAATGCGTAACATAATGAACTTAAGTTAGTGTTTAATTATGTTATATGTACATTCCATTTGAGGTTAGACTGAATAGAGAGACCAAGAAATGTTGTTACCTGAACATCAGCTAATTGCATATTGTTCATTTTCAATGGAGCATGCGATTACTAATTTGAAATGCACGTTGAACAGAAATGGTAACAATTGATGACATCATGGAGATTTTCGAGGAAGTTAATATTGGTTAGAGATAGATTGGTGGTTCTGAACACAGAATACCACACAGTTCCAATTCTGCTAACATCAGGACATAAAATGGCGGAATCGGTGGAAGAAAGGAAAGCTCTCCTCTGCGCCTCAAGGGGCTGTACGGGCCACTGAGCGGGCGCCGGGGCGCGCCGGGTGCGACAGGGCGGGCGCCACGGGGCAAGCGGCGACGCGACGCGGGCGGATGGATGCAGCACTGCCACGGACAGGGGGCGCTCGGGTGACGCATAAATCAATTGACAAATAAGCGGATTCCGCGAGAGCAAAAGAGACTAATATTCTGCCTCGGGGAAGAGGGAATATTTCGGGGATGCGCTCATGTCGGGTCGACCTGGGCCGCTGAGGTGGTGAGAGCATGTCCCGACGCAGCTCGTCGGTGCCATGGGTTGCGGGTTCGAATGCTGCCTATTTTTTGCCTGTCTCTCTCTTTCATCTTGGCCGTAGACACAGAATAATCTCCAGATGTGTTCGGTGCACGCTTAGAAATCGCTGTGCGGGTGGGAATGATTTCCCAAAATCGGGAAGAAGACCAAGCCCTTCGTCAGAAATATGCAAATTCGACGCAGTAACCGTGTTTGTATTTTATAAAAAGACATTTATTAAATTATTGATAAGTTAAAATATTAATTTACATTTATAAAAAATATTTACATTGTATAACTTATTCATTTTTCATTTTTATTGTGCTTATACTTATGGACAATAATACTCCAAACATTTTGCGATATTTTTCTATTCTAAATTCGAGTTTTAAAAGGCTATTATTGAAAAACAAATATTTTAGTTTTTTTAAGGAATCACCCTGAAACGTACCGTACGTCCTCTTGTGTCCCGCCATTACTACCTGCTGTTAAATCGTTATTACGTCTGTTATATCAGAGCTTCCACTCGTCCGACACCAAGAACAATTGCTATCGGTATTAGTCATGGTAATCAAATGTTTAACAGCTTGCCAGATAAAATGAAGTATGTAAATAATGTAACAAGGTTTTGGATAGAGATAAAACAATTGCTGGTAAAGAAGATGTTATTTAATATTCATGAATTGTGTTTGGATATAAATATCTACCTAAAAAGTATTTTTATCATACGCAAGGAGTTTCATATTATTATGCATATTCTTAAATAAATAAATGGAAACATGATATGAATTAAATTTTTTTAAATGTTTACCACTATTGTTTGGTATGCAGAAAGGATGTTATTGCATTTTTGTGTTGGTTTGGATATACAGATTTTAATAGAATTATCGCTTTACTAACATCATAAAATACTTATGGGTGTAGATGATGAAGTGGCCCTCGTTTTTATTTTTACAAAGTACTACATGTAAGTTTTATACACCCTTTGAGTTATTGTTAGGTTGCTTCTTTGCATGAATAAAATGAGTGCTTAAACATATTTTTATTTCCATATATCTTAGGTAGAATTACAGCAATCAAAATATCAGGATTTATTATTTAATAAAATATCTCATTTATGTTGAAGAGTTGAAAAATTAATAAAAAATAAATTCTTAATGAATCATTCTGCAAGTTATTCTCCTATAGTCATCAGAAACCAAAACAGCTGACCACTCGAGTCCCTATTAAATATAACTGCAACCTTGTGCTTTACGCAACAAATTGAAGAAGTTGTTAAAAGATTAACTTTTTTCAAATATTTCCAGTACATCACCAGTTCACATTGTTTCAAAATGAATACTGTTGCTCAACAGGGTGGGAGGTATCAAAAAGGGCTCACAAGAAATTTTAAATTGTACATTACCTTTCATTTTTAAAGAAAAATCCCGACCAGGAACTGCGGATATAATAGTGTGAACATAATATTATCATCCACCATTAAAGATGGCGGCTGAAGATAAGTCTGACTACAACATTACGGGACCTCGCTCTTGACCAAACTCTAAAGCGCCATAATTCAGAATGAGAAACAAACCGCCTTACGAAACGATTCTCGCTCTCGCCGCTCCGCCCTTGCCGACGAGGTGGCGGAGGGCAGGCGCAGGGCTGGGCCGCTTTCGATCGGAGGCTCCACGTCATTTCCGGTGCGGAAGGGGAGCGGGCCGCGAGGGGGCGATTACAGGCGAAAGCGTCGCCGGGCGACAATCGGGGGGAGGGGAGGAGTCGGAAAGGGCCTAGGAATCGGTTGGCAACGACGGTGGAGGCGGCCGCAAAGGACGAGGCAGTTGGACGACCGAAAGCAAAGGGAAAGACTTCCACTGAAAAGAGCAACGGATGTCAGAAGATGTAGTTGAATTTTTAATCCAAGAGATGGTTATTGTGGTGGCGGTGAAAGAAGATAAATTAGATGGTCGGTTGTAAATGTACGTTATGGAAATGTAAAATGGAGGTTCTTGATCGCAAAAGGCGGCAAAGCAATAGTTGTAGAGCAGACACTACTTGAGAGCGACTGAACCTGCCACAACGCAAATAGTACGATAATAAAATAACTCAAATAGTGCTGTGAATATACCACAGTGCAAATAATACCATAAAAATAAGTCAGAGAGCGAAAGTATGTCTGCTAAAATGGGCAGTAGGGAGAGAAAGATCTAAAATGAGAGGTCACGACAACAAAACGTGGGATAAACGATCTCGATAGGATTTAGAGGCGACTACAGGCAAAAGTGGTGTGATGTAAGGTAAAAAACGAACTCAAAACATGGCTTACAAATAAATAACAGATAAATTTCAACTTACGGATGCTGAAATAAATGTGTTAGAAACATTATTCGTAATGACCAATTTTAAAAGAAGTAGCTATAGATTCAACAAGTAATTGTATTTCAAAATTATCAAATCGTTTTTATTCTTCTCTTCCATATTGTCCCGCAAGTAATTAATTTAAATTAGGCAAATCATGTAATACTTTTTTCTGCATTGTCTCGTTATTCAAAAGATCCCTTTCAACTTCCTTAATAAACAGTATGAAATTCTAAGTAAAAGAAATGTATTAAATTAGTTGTAATTGAGTTATTAGGTAACCTTAGAAATTATATTTTAAAATTATTAATTATTCTACTATTAATTATTTTACTAAATTGTGAAAATATTGTAATTGTTCACGTCCTTGAAGGAAGTTTGTATGTCGAACAAGTAGAATGAATAATATTTAAAAAAAGATGCATTATGTCACCAAGATAAAAAGCATTTACCTATTTTCATTTATATTTGATACATGATATTCACAACGACTTAGGCATTTTTCTAGTGCCGGGAGAGCGACTTTACAAAAGGTGTGAAATGAATGTAACTGAGAATATGATAATAGCTGAAATAGTAAGGTGTTATTCTTCGAGTAGCCGTCGTACCTGCAAGTTGTAAGTTGGAAGAAATGGGAATAATGTTGGAAAGAAAGGCAGACAGATAGTGGGACCCGCTAGATGTATAAAAGAGCCCGCCTGAACTTGTATTTTCAATTCTAGAAGGCTACCAATGTCCGACGTTACGAAGAAAAAGGCACCAATGGCGAAGGGCCGGATTTTCCGTTGGCAATGGGGCTTAGAAACGACAAAGCAGACGGCAGCTTTAGTGATTCCTCTAGAGCGATGTGAACGGCTCGCGGAATGTCAGCAAAGTGAATGTGGGCAGCAGAGGCGGAAGCAACAAGCTAATTGCAATTGCAGGAATGTATGACTGCAAGATTTGCGCATAAACTGTAGGATCTGAGAGTACACACCTACAGGATGGTCGTGCTACTCCCAGAAGAACCAATATATACATCATTAGAAATAGGAGCGCAGGAATCAATAAGGAAATCAATATTTACAATAGCATTTAGAGGAACTACTTATTATACTTATAAAAATTATTATTATAAAAAAACCGGATGGCCCAGAGGTCGAACTCACGGCTCCGGATTGCAAATCCAGCGCGCAAACGTACCGAGCCACGTCGCTCGGTAGTGATATTTTTATTACAAGTCAAAATGATTTCCGAGTTTTATCCACAAAAAGCAACCACAGTCATGGGTGAAAAGCCACTCTCTACGGCTGGTATCCAATAAAAACAATCGAAATCAAAGAGTTATATCTCCATATGACTACTACAGACGAGGGACCTATCAACAGGTACAGGTCGAAATCTGGCCTCATTTTTTCTATTTATAGATACCCACTGTTATATGTTCTGTGGAAGAATAACTTCCGTCACCCACTGGAAGTTATTGGAAAAAAACCCAACCTTCCACAGTTTTACGAGGGAAATGGTCGTTCCAGCAGGGTTTGTGCACCCCTGCCTAATGTGACAGAAAACGTGCTCCTACGGGCAGGACTTCCAATTCCGAGCAGCCAAACGCTAAGCTAATGACGTTGCCACGCCCTTGGCAGGCCCGCAATGTCGCGCGGTGCAGCGCCTATTCTTCTGGGCATTAGTTATTCGCCCCTGAGAAATAGAAACTTGACGTGATGCTGAAGTGTGCCAGCGCCATGTAGTTAAAATAGTTTGCCAACCAAATATTTTTGATACAGACACATCGATGTATGATGGTTTTGTTGAATGCGTTTTTAGTACACCCCAGTACCATCAAAGATGGTGTGATCAGGCGAGTTAGCTCGAAAACGACAATGCCTGTGATGATCATAGTTTCGTTCGACAAGATGGCTCTGAACAACTCGCAAGCCCGTGTTTGGTTCATCTATTTTATTATAATCAATGAGATAATCATCGCCTTCGGGGTCGCTCAAAGCAGCTTTGCCGAATACACCGCATCGTCAATAGGTGCTTCCGATATAGCTCGATTTTGCCGAAATGGCAACATTATATCATTATATATATATATATATATATATATATATATATATATATATATATATATACACCTTACCAAACAAGCCTGATGTTTTCTTCATCTTTTAACCCTACTCTCCTCTTATTCACATACTCACACTTACATACACTACGGTACTGCACATGTCAAAAATTCAGTTGGGAGCTTCGAGTTCGTTCCGGCTAAGACGGTGTCCCGCTGAGGGAAATACTTGGAAATGTAAAAAAGCCCTTAATCTGACGTGTAGGTCGGCATCGAATATCTCATTCCACCCTGGGAGTAACAACGCTACGTCCGGGGCTTAGCCTACAGTACGCTTGCGAGACTAATTACAAAGGCACACACAAAAAACCTTGTCAGACCCAAAGACTTGACACGTTTCTCTATGAATGTCGACGCGCTGAGTCCGAATGTAAAGCCATAATTACGCCATCGCCATCCCGTTTTCTTAATTCCGAAAAACTACCGTGAAATTCCAAATTGTAAACGTCACAGTGTTTTTTCGCGAATAAAAAGAACTGGAAGGTGGTGGCGCGAATCTGGCTTCGGATCCAGCGCGTCGATATACATAGAGAGTCTTGGATCTGACAACGTTTGGACTCTGTGAAGTATAACGCTACAAGAGACCAAAATTTAGTATTTGCATTTGTTATTTGCGTTTTAATAGCACTAGAGGGTAGTGGCACAATTCTGACTTCAGATTCGGATTCAACGCATCGACATACATAGAGAAACGTGGGTCACGTCATTGGGACTGACAACTTTTTTGTTGTTGTGGGTCTGTGTTAAGTACATGAAAGTACTTGCCGTGCCCGGAATCAGTACTGTGCCTCCTCCGGGACGTTTGCGCGACATCGGGAGAAAGCTCCTACAAGTTTACTTGAAAGACGTTTACGTCAAACTGTTGTACGAACTCTGCTACATAAAATTGAATTTTCTTTGTTTTTGTTAAGAAGATCAATTAAAAATTAATCTTGTGTAACATGTCATGTAATATTGTTAGCTTCATGTTGTGAACAGAATTGTGTTAAATGTTATGTATTTAAGTATTTGGCATAGTATGATCGTATTAATTCGACTTTTTCCAGCTAGCGGGGACCCCATGCCTGTTTTTATTTACGTATTGGGATAAAAGAGACATGTGGTGAATATGACAAATTCTCATCACCGTATCTAACGTACTTGGTCTGCCTGAACTTTTCTTTCGTCACATAGCTACAGAAACCCGGGCGATTAATTATAAAGCTACAGCTCTATTTTTGCTCCGATCGGAAATCGAAATCAAGATAGCACCGAGAAAAGATAGCGCGCTGTTCATGAGCCACTCCACGAATGTGATAAACTTTAAATGCACACTAAAATATATTTTTCTGTTTTGTTGCAGGTAAGACCTAGACGCTGGTGATAATATGCCCGCTGCTCGTTAGGTATGAACGTGACATTATTTAGTATTAATTATTTAGAAGTAATGACGCCTTTGAAACTGTTTAATTTAAAATTCATTAATGTAATATTCTAGAAACATGTTATTAACTCTTCCAATGCAAACCAATTCTTAATTCACCGTCATTTAGGCGTAAGTTATAGATTTGAATTGCGTTTAGTTCATAGATCTAAAATATAACTTCAGTTATACACAAATAGATTTCCACATCTCTTTCTCGCGAATACTTTTAAGGTACAAAGCATAGAATGTTATTTCGATAGAATTTACTATTGGTTGATAATTATGTAATTACTCTTGGATTGAAGTCTTTCTGTTACACATTCATTGTTGGGCATCGTTAAATCCATTTGTAGTGCGACAATTTTCATCAATTCAGAATGTAATCAACAAAGTTTAAATTTTGTTTATGGCTAAGGAATTATTACCTTTGTGTATCTATATTATTAAATTGTGTAGTGCAGAGCTTAAAACGTTATGAAACTCATAAATCGTTCGAAAATGGAACATGTAATGAAGCGCGAAATAAAACTCCCCAATTGTCAGTCTTTTTATAGTCACCGTTGAAGACACGCAAATAAAAAATTCAATTCAATCCATCCCGTTTCCACGTATGAATTAACAGTGGCAATGAGCTGGTTTCAGTAATTGTGCAGTGACAAGGACACATGAAGGAAAACAAAGGCAGAGATCGCTGCGACACAAGCGCCGCCCATGTAATGATATTTCCACTTCATCAACCCGGAGTTAAATTTGTGGAAACGATTCCTTTGTATACTTGCTGCAATGGAAATCGATATCATCTGCGGCTGAATCCTATGTAAATTATGCCAGTTTGCGTTCCTGCCTTATTAAAACTTGAATGCATGAGCAAACCGAGGATATCTGATGTCTCAACATTTCTGCCTAACTGTCTGCGTCCGTTGAAAATGTTACAGGACTTCCCAATCGTGAATCCAGGTTTTCTATTCGTACATCATATGAGTGGGTGAAAACCACAACTGTTTAAGTGACTTTTATACATTCAGGGAAGTCAATATTACTGTAAAGTTGTGGTGTTATGTTTCATCAATAAAACCACAGCATTTCAATTGTTCGCATTAAAACCACGAAAATACATTGCACTGAAATATAGCCGAAAATTAACATGTTTTTCTCAGAATTTATAAAATGTCACTTATACCGATCTGGTTTTCCGCCATTCATATCTACTTGAAATCAGTGCCAGCTGCAGGAGTGTGCCAACCGGGGAATCGTCCGACGTCCTAAAACTCACGAGAAAAAATCAACAACAAAATTTCAATAAAATAGAATTCTAAATAATATCGCAATTTTGAAAGTGATGATAGAATATTTAAAATTATAGTTGAAGGTTATATTTGAAATCATAGTTGATTTTAATATATAATAATGAAATTGAAATGTCTGTCTGACTGTGATTTCACAATGACTGTTCACATGATAATCTGACATGGATATTTACATAATGTAAAAACCCATTCAATCGGTTTTATATATTTTTACACACTAATCTCGAGAACGGGTAAACCGATTTTGCGCTTTTTTTGCAAAAATATTGAATTTTGTCATAATAAATTGAGCTACTATTTTTTTATAATTACCTTTCATTAAATAACTTCTTATATAAATCTAGTTTGTTGTAATCGTAACAAAATTCCGTTTTTTTGATCTCTGAAACAAGTGATTGATTGTTTAGTGAATCCAGGCGCATCAATTGCTATGGTCATTAGTCCCGTAAGTGAAGGGCATGTGTTTTGCTAGAAAGGTGGAGATGATCTTTCGCTGGATAGCGAGATACAGCCCCGCCCTCCGGCGGCTGGTGGGGTTTCCCTCAACGAGGTATCTCCCACCAGCGGGGCACATGCGTCAACCGGATAAGCTCTAAGTTCCCGACCGGGCTCCCGGCATGCGAAGTAGAGCAGTGCGTGTTAGTGGGGTGAGGGTAGGAGAAAAAAGAGGAGGAGATGATCGCGAGCGATCCTTGACCCCTTTGTTGGGGTTCTCGTAAGACATTTGCCTGGTGATTTGAGAAACCACCGAAAAGCTACCAATCAGAGCAGCCGGCGTCTGGAAGACTCCTCCAGACAGCGACTGAATTCGACACAGCTAGTCCCGAAAATCCTTTTACCGTCGAGACTCGCACCTAGAATTCCCTGGTCAGAGGCACCGCTGTGACATCAGTTGATGTTCTGAGCCACCTCTCCCGGTCCAAACAGGAGAAATGTGACAATCTACATGAGATTTCGTAAAATAGTCATCCTACTTTTCCACTCCTTACAGTGCAAACACTTTCCACTTTCTGCAAATATTTAAAAATTGGCGAACAAATCCACCAAAGTGAATAAGAAGTTTAGTAAATGCATTTGCTCTACTAAATTTGGCTCTAAATAACAGAAA